ATCTTTATAAATGTTATATATGTTTATTCACCACGACAGGGCAGGGCACTTTTTGAAAGTTGGTGACGCCGGGCTACTTGCAGGAGGCTCCTTTGATGGAGTAGGACCACCAGTCCGGCCACGAGCGGATCTTGTTGACGGTGAGCTGGCCGGGGCTGCGAGTCGCTCCGACCTGGCACGCGCCCGCCACGAGGTGGTCGCCGCTCAGCTTGCCCAGCTTCACGCCCTGGGAGATGAGGAGCTGCGCCACCTGCAGCTGCGCGTCGGAGGGCGCCTTGTGGTTGAAGTCGCCGATAAGCGCGATGCCGACGGCCTTGACGTTCCAGCCCTTGAGGAAGGCGCCTCTCGTGTCCCAGCCGCGTCCCTCATACACCAGACCGTCTCCGCCGACAAGGAAGTTGTAGCCGATGTCGTGAAAGGCGCTTGTGTCCATGTGGTCGTCCTGGATCGCGCGAACCTGCCGAGGTGTGAGTTTGGTGTAGTAATTGTGATCAGATCATCCAGGATAAAGTACGTCGGTCATCACCGTTACGAACTTGCTAAGTTTCGTCCCTGCAATGAGTTCTCGAAGAGCCTGATAGGTAGGCAACATCTTGTCTGTGGTGCATGCATGTACTGCAGTGTGGCCTACCCTGGGTCTCGCAGGCACCGAGCTCCGGTGATTTTCCGAATGAATCTAAGATCAGACATACTTCCTGGACTATCCCTAATCTGAATCTGAGACCTCGTGCTCGCGCTTGCACTGTATTGTGTATCTTCAGGTATCTTCTACCACCTACTATCTGCCGGTGTGTAGTAAGGGCTCGTCCCGTTAGGTTCGGGTTCGGTGCGTAGAATTGTTTAAAACTGTGTCAGTTTTTGACCGTGTGTGTAAAGTTTTATTTGGCACTGTGTACGCGATTTCTTCTGTGCCCCCGTCGAGATCGAGTGCTGCTCACGGAACTCTTAGTACCATCAATATACTCACTTGTGCCGCGCACTTCTTCTGGGTGCTGCAGCTCGGCGTTGATGTATGGTGCAGGATGACGTACTTGACGGGCGCGGTCAGCGTCTGTTTGGCACCTTGCGGGGCCCTGGCCGCCCAGCCCTGACGATCCACGATGACCAGGTCACCGCCGACAGCTGGATAGGAGAAGAGAGGTGAGCACGATAAGAAGAAGGGTTGGTGAGTGGGGGTCCCTCTCCCTCCCCTAGCTACCCGCGGCCAGCAGCGGCAGCACGCCCAGAAGCAGAAGCACCTTCATGTTGAGCAAAGCAAACGCGACTGACTGAGTTACTCACCGATTGGCAATAAGGAACAGTAATTATCTTAACTATATCTTATCTTCGTTAGCAACGCCGCCGTGCCGCTTAGTAGGCGGACAGGAGGAGGGGGGATGCTGGGCAGGATGTGGAATTCGCGAGAAACTGATTCAGAAGGCGGCCACAATCTTAACGCTGGTTATTATTAATCCTCTTATTTCTCTCTCATTCGGTGGTCTACCTACTACCTTTACGTTATGACGCGATGACCTAGTTCTGGTCGAACCAACAACAAATTTTCTTCGGATCCACAAAATAGTTCAAATTTTACGAAACTGTATTTTGCTTGAATATCTTTTATTGTTATCAGAACGGAAACCGTTTCTTTCGTAACCTAGTGGAACATCACGTAACAAATTACTGAAAAATACTTCTCGCACCCTACGGTTTATAGTAAAAGAAAGCAGGCTGGACTGTACTTTTCTTACAGTACACCGTAAGATGGACATCATGTCGCTATTTTGCATTGTTTATTGCTTTGATTTGGGTGTGAATTACAGTCAAAGTAGCCGTTTTCTAGACGTTCATTTTGTTTAACCGCGGCCGAGCACCTGGCAGCCTGTGTTGTGTAGTTGGACCAGTGGTCCACGGTGCGCAGCCAGCGCATGCCCACCGTGCCGGGGCTGTCCGTATCCTTGAGCTGGCACGCGCCCACGACCTGGTAGTCGTCGCGGAGGGCCCCCTCCAGCACGCCCTGGCTGGCGAGCAGCTCGAGGGCGAGCCGCTGCGCCTCGGTGGGGGAGGGCGAGCCGATGAAGTTCCCCATCAGACCCACACCGATGGACATGGAGTTCCATGGGCTGGTGTGGGCGCCCTGGAGCTTCCACCCGCGGCCCACCAACACCGAGCCGTCGCCGCCCACCAGGAAGTTGTAGCCGATGTCCAACCATCCGCATTGTCCCATGTGGAAGCGCTGGATAGCGCGAGTCTGCAGGACGCGAGCGAACGGAGTGTATTTAGATTGTCCGACCTATTTTTCTCCGACCTGGCGATTTTGGCTCAGTGACGGGCCTAAACGCCTTTGGGCTACCATGTTTAAGTGCAAGGTGCTTACCAAAGAGGCACACGTCGACGGCGTGAAGCATGATGTCCGCCCGGTGTGCTGCACGACGAGGAGTGTGACCGGGAGCATGAGAGAATCCATATGCCCAGACGGCGGGTCGGCTCCCCAATCGTCTCTGGTGATGGGGGCGAAAGAAGGATGCGTTGGTTCCGTACTGGTGACCGAATGCGTGCACGAGTTGCACTTTGTAGCGCTTGTCGAGGAACTTTGGGTAGCTGTGGTAGGAAAGTGGGTCGGCGTGGTCGCACTGGTCAAACTGGTAGATGAGTTGTGCAGTGCAGCTGGTGTAGGTTTTTCTGAAACAGAAAACGTATTCTAACTACAAGTGGCTTACAAAACTTACTTCTTTCTTTGTTTTTCAACCATAGGCGTCAAACTATGCAGTATCGTGCGAAATGCACGTGGTGTTTCCCATCGAGCATGGTATAGCGGTTAATAAGGTCCAAGTGCGACTAGAGAGCTAGTATAAAATTAACAGAGTTCCATCGGTTTAAACCGAATATTTGATACAGGACGGTGTTTATGTGAAGTGGTTGCAGGTGGGATTTGTTTTTCGGATCGGGGGAAGGGCGGGG